AATACTTTTGCCTTTGATTCTAATATCAGGTAATCTGCAGTGGAAATACATGTCGAAGAAACTAGAGTAACTTGTGATACTACAATATAAATGAAGGTTTCCGTATTAACGAACTGTCCTGCTTTCACTCAAAGTTGTGAAAGTGAGAGCGAGAGCAGTGAATGTGAACCGTCTTCTGACTGTCCTTCACTTACATCAGGTTAACCACAGGTTTTACATTTGTTTATTGTGCTAACTTACTTAATTAAAACATGATTTCATGTGAGTCATCTGAATAGCAGTGTGTTAACTGTAGGAACTTAACAATTAATTGCATTCGTCTCAGTGTTTCCTGGCACAAAATCACACGTGCACGACTGTACAACTGACTAATAATGTAAGCTGTACTATCTGCACTACTCTATCTGCCTTTCACTCTCAGTGCTAACTATAAACCACCATGCACTACTGTGCACGGTGTCTCTCTTTGTCTCAGTGTGCTTTTGCCCCCCAAAAAGTTCATCTTCCATTACAAGAATGTGCGCTGGGCGAGGGGCCGGAATGAGACCTACCTCTGCTTTGTAGTGAAGAGGCGAGTGGGCCCAAACTCCTTGACCTTTGATTTTGGACACCTCCGCAATCGCAGTGGCTGCCATGTAGAGGTAAAAATACTGTAGGTGAAAATCTGTGGAGCATATCCTGTAAAGTGGTCCTGTTCCCCGGAGGGGCTGAACATAACAAAAGGAAGTAAAGAATGATTATGCTCTTCATTATCTTGTCCACTTTCACCACAGATGCTGTTTCTGCGGTTTCTGGGAGCCCTGTGTCCTGGTTTGTGGGGGTATGGACCTGCTGGAGAGAAGAGGCTCAGTTACTCCATCACCTGGTTCTGCTCCTGGTCTCCCTGTGCCAAATGCTCCGCCAAACTGGCCCAGTTCCTCAGTCAGACGCCCAACCTCCGCCTCAGGATCTTCGTCTCTCGCCTTTATTTCTGTGACATGGAAGACAGTGAAGAAAGAGAGGGCCTGAGAATGCTGAAAAAAGCTGGAGTGCACATCACAGTCATGAGTTACAAAGGTGGAGGCATAACGACAAACCAGAGCTGATATATATATGAATCTGGGCCAGACATGTATGGAAGATTAAACCAGCCACTTAAAATGCAACTTTTCCTTCACTTTATGGATGTTGTTTATGACAATGTTTGTTTTCTTTCCCTCCAGACTTCTTCTATTGCTGGCACACCTTTGTGGCTCGTAAGCGCAGCAGCTTCAAGGCCTGGAATGAGCTGCACCAAAACTCTGTTCGTCTGACCAGACAACTTGAGCGCGTCCTCCAGGTGGAAGAATTAATACTGCACTGATCTTCAGCCGGCATGATTTGGTCAAATGAGTGATGATGTGCTTAAGATTCTCATGAGGTTTCTTATTTTCTTTCTCAGCCACGTGAAACAGAAGATTTTAGAGATGCCTTCAAACTCCTCGGATTGTGAAACATACCTGACCTGTTACCATGTGATCAATTCGACTGTGTCTATGGTGAAAACACATGGTCCATCACTACAACAATTAAACTGAGATTTTTTTTAAACTGAGAAATTGTAGCAAGGCTTTAAACATTGGGCAGCTGCTGCTTGTAGTTTCTGTAGCATTATTTTCATGTGAAATAAAAGAATACACAATGAAATATTGTGATACTGTTGATGTTCCATCACCACTGACGAGTAGCAGACTTCAATAACTTCACAAAGCATTGAACTACACCCAGGTTCATCACTTTTTTGGTTCCCCTGGAAACATTTGCTGCCTGTTTTTGTATTGACATGCATTGTGACTTTTAGCTGCACATGTTTCATCAAATTGATGAAGTCAGAGAAAATCAGAAGCTGACTACAATATTTATATTTGCATGTTTTATCTTAAATCTTTTGTTACAATCAAGATCAAAACTATTTTCAACTGTTGATAAAGCTGTATTTGATTTATTAAAAATCATTTCACCGGTGATTCTCAAGACCCCTCACCCTCCCCGCTTCCAAACATGAAGGAGAACCATAGCTTCAGCTGTCATACAAAATCAAGAGGTGTTTATTTGGTCCAGTGTGGACGACTGTAAAAAATATGGAGGCCTCCATAAAGAGGACCTGCTCCAGATGTAAATATAAAGTATTTAAATCTAAAGGGCCCATTCTAGAGTAAAGAAAACAACAACTCCTATCATTTAGATGAAACACACAAGTAAAATCATCACCAGGATTATTTTATATTCATTTCCTGCCATTAGATCCTCTCATCTAAATCTTTCACACTGAAACTTTCAGTTCATCACTGGATCTCCAGCCTGGTTGTGCGCGCACACATCGGGTATTACGGTCTCGGGGCCGCTCACGCCTCACGGACGCGCCGCTCCCCGTCACCAGCAGCAGCAGCGGCCGCACACACACCGACTGAGTCAAGATGGCGACCGAGGGTCAGAGCGAGTACGAGTCCGTCCTCTGTGTCAAACCCGAAGTCAACGTGTACCGAATCCCACCGAGGGCATCGAACCGGGCCATCAGGTGAGGCTGTGGGCCGCGGGGGCCGGTGGGAGGGCGGCGGCCTGACTGGGGGACCTTCCTCCCCCAGCATCCGGGAGCTGGGAGCAGTCATCCCGGCGATTTACCTCCCGAGCTCATCCCCTAATCACGCAGCCTCACGCAGCCTCACGCAACGGGCTGTTCGAGAGCTGGAGGTTTTTCACGGTGTTTACAAGGTCACGATGGGAAACAGGCGACTCGCTGCGGGGGGTTGCACCTGCACCAGCGGGGCTGAGGATCGGCTGCCTCCGCGCGTCACTGTCCCTGTGTTTACGTGCCTCCATCCAATAGCACATCCGAGAGGAAACAGTGATTTAGTCAAAAGATATTTTACAGGAAATCTCCCTTTATTTTCAAATAGAGTCTCACTGGCTGCAGGCAGAGAGTCCCTGCAGCTGCCTTGCTCAAGGGCACTTCAGCCGCGTTGACGGTGCTTCGGGCCCAGACGTGGAAATGCGTGCTGCAGTATTGTTTATGTATTTTTGGCTGCTGTGTGTTTTTCCCATTCTGTTTTCGTGAAGTGACCATGATGCAGGAGATTTGTTTATTAGACGTTGGGATTGTTTGGCCTTTCTCTCATTGGCTGCTCCGTCCTGCAGCTGCATGTGAGTGGACATCACTCAAACCAAACAGTAGCACAGGCCCACAGTCCCCCCGGGACGAGACACACTATTGGTTAACCAGTGACCATATGTACAGGGGGGTAAGGCCGATGATGTAATATTTCGGCCTAAGGTCTCGTTGGAAGGCCCGTCTGACGCTTCAGTCACGTTTTGTTCGCTCAGGAATACGATGACAGTGTGTATAGGATGAATCACAACAATTACGCACATGCACGCAAAACACACATTTACCTCCCTACTTCCTGTTGTTCTTGCCTCTCCACGTCCACATCAATAAGCTGCTGTCACCAGCTCACCTACCACACTGTCCCCCTGAATGCCATTGTGTGTGTGTGTGTGTGTGTGTGTTTATATGTGTATGTTTATGTGTGTGTCCCAGGGCTGCCGATTGGAAGCTGGATGCTCCTGACTGGACGGGACGCATGCGTGTGACGGCCCGGGGCAAAGTGGCCTATGTGAAACTGGAAGACAAAATCTCTGGTGAGAGGCGCAGACAGGACAGGGCCGTTGTTTACTGGCACTGCCGCTGTTGTAAATCATTTCACTGTGTAGTCTCCTCTGGTCGCCATCGCTCCCTCTCTCTGTTACTCATCTCTTCCAAGGTGACCCAGCCCACATCCAAGCATGCGATTTCTTTTAAAGCCAGCGGGACGATAATCTCTCTCTGTCTCTATTGGAGCATTGGGGACTAAACACGCCTGTTTTCTTTTGCTTGAACCTTATTTTTAATGGGATTTTAATATTGTAAGATTGATCCATTTTCCAGAATCCACCAAAACCACACAGTTTCTGCTCCTATTTAATATCTTAAGCTGTAAATGGTTCTGCATGATCCCACTTCCCTCTGGACTATTCTCCAAGATGGATAATGCATATTAGTGTGTTTCTTTTCATGTGTTCTACAGGGGAATTGTTTGCCCAGGCGCCGGTGGAGGAGTACCCTGGGATCACAGTGGAAACAGTTAGTGACTCAAGTCGTTATTTCGTGCTCCGCATCCAAGATGACAATGGTGGGTGAAGTGTTTGTTGCTCAGCCATAAATATTTTGTAAACCTGCTCAAATTTGAGAGGAGAGCATGTTTGAATGGTTTGGTGCAGGGGCAGAGATGCACCATTATTTAGCTGAGCACCAAATCATGGGAAATGTTTATTGTCGTGGAGGCATTATCATAACAAACTGTTAGGATTAGTTTCTTGTTTGTTCCACCATGCAGCTCTAACCCTTGTCTGGCGTCTTCGTTTCAGGCCGCAGTGCATTCATAGGCATTGGATTTGGAGACCGAGGCGACGCCTTTGACTTTAACGTTGCACTTCAGGACCACTTTAAGTATGCAGCTGCTCCATAGCGTGTCACGAATCATGACTCATTCAACAGTGAATGAGTTTTATCTACTCTTTTATACCTCTTTGATCTTTTTGCATGTCTGTGCTTCTCCCTGGTTTCTTCCAGGTGGGTGAAACAGGAAGATGAATTCACCAAGCAGGCGCAGGCTCCAGACACCACTCCCAAACTGGACCTGGGCTTTAAAGAGGGACAGACCATCACTCTCAATATCGGGGTGACTTTATTTTCATATAACTGGTACTTGGACATTAGCGAAACAGTACAATTGCTTTTAGTTTGGTGTCACATCTTTTCAAAGGAGTTTACTACTGTTGAAGTGTATCTTTGTCAAACCACCAAACCACAATGCTTATTGACAGTTGAGAATAAATCCAAAATCAGGTTCTAAACTAAAAACCATTTAGTATCTGTTGTATTCTATTATATCCAAAGTGCAAACCTCACACACGCTCACCCACTTGTGTTTTTTGTACTTTCTTTAGCAATCCAAAAAGAAGGACAGGTCTCGTCCGCAGAGTTCCGGTGGCATCGGGCTCCTTCCACCTCCACCCGGGGGAAAGCTAGCACCACCGCCGTCATCGAGATCCACCAATCACAATACACAACAGTCTGCTGGAGTAAGTGACACGGGTAGGTAATTATAACCGTAGAGAACGGAGACATGAAGAGGTCACCCGCCTAATCGCACGCCATCAGGTGTTTTTTTGTCTATGCATGCTCAGACATAGTGAATCCAAAAGCTTTCTGATGAGTGTTACAAATAATGCATGTGTGTCAACATCACAGATCATCATCCAGATCTGGTTAAATTCAAATCATAGGTTTGGCCAACACATCCATTGGTAAGAATAACATTGTTACTGAGCGCACTGCTGGAAAAAGCTCAGCCCTCAGTGGTTAGCATTGAACATTATTACCCCAATATATCAGTGTTTTACTGCCATGTTTGACCTGCAGGTTGTTGTAGCTTGGCACAACCGTGTCATTTTCAGTGGGTCATGAAGTCATATGGAATGAAAGTTTGTGTAAATGGTGAATATGAAGCAGAGGAAAGTTATTTCTTTGATGAAACATTTTATTTCTTTGGCCTCGTTGAGGTCAGTTAAAGCTGTTTCCGACGGTGCGCTTGTATCCACAGTCTTTACAACAAAGGTGGTGAGTGCAATGTTAGGAATACCATGACACATAGACTCCTGTTGTAAAACACAGACTAAAATGTCCCTTTTAAAAAGATTGTTGCCTGGCTTCTCTCTGGCCCTGTGTAGTAGAGATGCTTTCACACCTCATGATTGATCTTCTAGAAATGAAAATGGTTGTATCTCTATCTTGCGGTGCACTGTGCTTCTGTTTTCTTTGCTGAGGTGTGCAGATGCATATCTGAGAGATTCACTGCAGCCATCTGAATACAAAGGAAAAACATTAATTAAATTCAGCAGCAATTACTTTGCATTGATAACGTCCTGATTTCAGGATGTTACCTGGGCCTCTCTCAGCCAGGCTAGATGCCAGATAAGATACACAGGTTTTATATTTGGATTGTCTCCAAATACATTTCTGACTTTATATTATACCTAAATACATGCATTTGTTTATATATATTAACAAATAGTAATTCTAATTATTGCACAGGTGGATTATATCTCTGTTTTGTTTTATTTTTTAACTAACAGGTTTCTTGCTAGACCTGGACTCCAGTAACTCCAACTCAGTGGCTCCACCCAACCCGACCTCCACATCCAGCTCTGACCTGTGGGGAGACTTTGACTCCGTATCCCCAAAGTGAGGAGATATTCACTCCTTTTTTCTCCCTCCCTTACTGTAACTCTCTGTAAATTTATGCAGCAGTTTTTGCAACTTTGTTTTCCCCGTTATTTGGGGTCCCGTAACTGTCCCTGCCAAGCAGGGTAACCCCTCTGTCTGTGCTTATTTGAATTCAGTTTCTCAAAGCCTTGGTTTAGCCTGAGATACGCCAGGATTATTACCCCCTCAAAGCACATTTAGATGATTGGTCACCTTGCAACCAACTTCCATCGTCCTTGTTGGGGCTCTTGTTTCCTCGCTCTGTCTGTGTATTCAGTCTAGCTCTCTAGTTTCCTCTAGATTTCTGCCTTTGCCCTTTTCCTTAAAGTGTTTTATTTACACAAGAGTATACACTATAGAAATATGATCAAGGGAGACATAATCAGAAAAAATCTGAAAACGAATACTAATAAAATACAATTATGAATGAATTTTATGTACAGAAATAATTTATTTTAAATGTATATATTGTCACTAGTTTGTAAGTATTGCCATTTGTGTTGTCAACTGTCCGTAGTGTAGCTTCTCATCAAGTCTCCAGCAGTGGGACTGAATATATGCACTGACTGACAGTCCGGTCTGTCTCGGTAGTTACTAATGTATAGTCCATATTAAAGGCAGGGAATTATCTAATAATAGACTTAGGTTATTGTGAAGTTTACCACTAAATGATTTTACTTGAAGGAAACCTGAGTAGATGTGCTCTCTAGCACTCTCTGGTGGGCCTGGGTGGCTCTGGAGCATCATTTGAGAGAAGATGCAGCTTTTGATCATAAATATCACTGGAGATGAGTTTTGTGTGAATTGTTTTATCTGTAAAATCAGCACAGAGAGACGGAGGCATCAAGTGCTTTTATCTTCGCCTCAAGCTGGAACAGAGATGATTTAGTCCGTGTTATGTCATCTCCACTCAGCACAGCTGTTAAAGCTGTGACTGGTGAGTCATCTGTGTCACGACCTCTTTCCTCCTCAATGAATAGGTCTGTGTTTCAGCACTGCCCCGAAGGGCTTTACCTCCTTCATTCTCCATGAGAAGGTGAGCAGGTTGTAGAGCTCAAACGCAGCATGTTGCTCTGTACAAACAAGTTTTAGCTTCAGCCCCATGTTCAGATCTAATGCTATAAACGCTTCTCTGATGCAGACAAACGCAACGTGGGACCAAGTCAGTCGATGTTCGATGCCGTGTTTTGTTGTGATATTGTTATGTATCAGGAGATTGGTTCATGTTACATTGATATCACAGATACACACACGTGTTGTGACAGGTGTGCAGTGGCCAGTGGTGTGATGGTGGATGTTGACAGGAGCGCACAGAGAGTGTGTGAGTGTGAAGCCCTAACAGTGTTTGTCAGTGTTTGTTTACTGTTCAAATTATATGCATTTCTTCCAAGCGTTACTTGTTATTCAAACTGTATATGTGTATGGAGATGTATATGGAATTGAATATGCAAAGAAAAACATAAAGGTATCATTTAATGACCATAACTTTTGTTTATTGTTTTTATGTTTCCATGACAGCCAGTCTGTCGGTCCATGTGTCCTATTCTTGTGAACACGATATCTCAAGAACGCCTTGAGGGAATTTCTTCAAGTCGGTACAAACGTTCAGTGTGACTCAACGATGAACTGATTAGAATTTGGTGGCTGAACATGAGGTCACTCTGGCCTTAGAAACACGTGTGTGGTCTTGTGAATGCAACATTTCAGCAAAACCTTGAGGAAATTTCTTCGGTGGTGACCTGATTAGAATTTGGTGTTCAAAGGTCAAGGTCACTGTGACCCCAGAAAAAACCCTTTTCCCTAATGAACAAATAGATTTAGAAATGCCTCAGTGGTCTAAGGTCAAGGTCACAGTGGCCTCACAACATGTTTTTGTCCTCTTGAACATAAAATCTCAAATCTGCCTCCAAGGAATTTGTTCAAACTTTGACCAGTTGTGACTTGGACTCAAAGATGAGCTGATTAGATTTCAGTGGCTCGTGTGACTTTGGAAATAGATTTATGTTGGAAGCACTGGTTGGCAGATGCATACAGTTGCAGGACGATACTTCTCATTCCTCAAAAATTAAAATAAGAAAGAATAATTGAACAAATAAAGTAGTAGTGATATTTTATTGGATACAATAGTGCACATAATACTTGATTGTCAGTGAGTGCCCTACATTCCACAACAGAGTGGGTCTGTCTTTGTTCGATGACTCAGTGCTGCTATAAGCCCATAACTACAGTACCTTAAATGGGTCGTAAACCATGGAAGACATGATCTGTGTCCAACAATACACAGATGAAATGAGCACACCTTCAGTATTCACACACAATTAAAAGACTAATACATAAACATAGATATGACTCAGCACGTGTGTGTGTGTGTGAGAGAGAGAGAGAAAGAGAGTGACCCACGGGTGTTGAGCAGTGAATTTATGGTGTTTTTATAACAACGCCCCTGGTTTGTGTGTCCAAGGGGCTCCATCCCCACCGGTGGTCACCTCGTCATCCCCGGGCCCATCAGGCCTTGTTTGCCCAGGTTTTGGGGTTGCTACGGCGATTGCGACAGGGTTTCCTATTAGATGACCTCTCAAAGCGTCTGGGCCATCCGGACAGCTCTCGGCACAGTTCAGCTGCAGAGTGCAAAAGACACGAAGAGGTTTCTTATGTCTGTACGCTCATGCAACCTGACGTGTCATGCATGGTGAGTCTCACCTTTCAGATACTCGTCCTGCTGGCACACCGTCCTCATGCAGATCTCTTTGTTGATGACGTAAACACGAGGGAGGCTGCATCACAAACAGGATCAAACATGAGTGTTCTGCGTCTCACCTGATGTAGATACACTGACTGTACCTTGTAGGGTTGAGATTTCCCTGTGGTTAAGTACTTTTACACAAGTACCATACAGTTAAAATTTTGAGGTACTTGAACTCAAAGTGTTTTAGTTCTTTCACACTTTTTATTTAATATTTTATTATTCATTTTCAACTTATGATTTCATATAAGAAACCACATCATCTTATAAAATCTTATAAAACTGACCATCGATAGAGAGAGTGGATTCACCGTTAACATTCCGATGGTGTATTTATGCATTAGTAACGTGTCCCAGGAGAGAGAGAGAGGGTCGTCCACTAATTAGAAGACCGGTGGTTCGATCCCTGGCACCTCTAAGTGTCCTTTGGCAGAGCTGAACCCTAAATTGCCTCTGATGCCAGTGAATGAATCAGTGTGTGTGAATGGGCGAATGCGACTTGTACTGTAAACCAGTTTGAGTGATCGATAAGACTGAGAAAGATCTGTATAAAAACAGTCCAATTACCATTTACATTACTTCAAAAATAGACTTTGACATGAATACAATTGTATGAAATGGAGCATTTTCACATTCTGGTGCAGTATCTCCACATCCTTTGAGCAAAGGGTCTGAGAAACAGAAATAGTCTGTCCACACAGTCTTTATTGTGCTCTTATAAAAAACAGCTGGAAACATACTTCAATTAAATACGATTATACTGTATTTGTGAAAACTGAAAATTTGCAAATCACCTGTAGAAACAAAGACCACCAACGCATCTCTTGACGGGCTTGTGAACCGAGTACATCCTGGTGCATGGATACATCTCCTCCCTGCAATCTGCAGAGACAGGAGATGCTTTGAAACTGTGTAAATCATAACAGCAACACGAAGCACAGCAAAAACCTGCACTAGAGTATTTGTGCCAAGAGCTGCAGACGGCCTCCTGAGAGGCTGCTCAGAGGTCACTCACTGGCTGGCAGGATGCCTCTGGGGGCCTCAGTGGTCTCTAGAAACAAGCAGAGAAAACACACATGTTACCAGTGGCCCACGTCGATGACTCACAGACTGACACATGTCATATGCACCACAACTCGTCCCCCCGTCTAAACGTGCGACTCGTGCAAGAGCGGAGCATTACCAGACTGCTGGGTTTGGGCTACAGCTGTGAGCACTGTGGAACAGAAACCACATGAGGGGAGTGTTTCGCAGCACAAAAACAAACACGCAGCGACTCAACCGTAATTAAACAAGATGATTTGTGTGTTCTGTTTGGCGGCGTTACCGTGGAAACTGCAGAGGAGCAGGACCACTGGATGGCTGCCCATTCCTTCAACTTGTAAGAGGTGCGCTTTACGAGCTGGAGGAAAGCGAGGAGGGAAAAGAGTCAGGATGATTTCACAGAGTGGAACTGTTCAATATTCTCTCGTTTGCTGTTTATGTTTCCTTTAATCCTCGTGCATATATAAATGCTCCCAACATTCCAGGTCACTGTAATGTTTTCCCTGCAGTTCGGCTCCAGCTAAGCACACAGAAGGCGGTGCTGTGTTTTGGGACAAGTTGTCATCGTGTATATAGAAGAGTGGCTGATGTCATTTAGCTGTGGAATAATATTTTCAACTGTACATTCTGGTAATTAGAGGTTTGCATGGAGCGACTGGATTTAAAGTTTGCGACAAATCAGACACTTTGAAAACATTTTACTTTTTGCTTCTGGAAATGTGTTTTTCTTCCTCTCTCTCTCTCCTTCCCTCTCTCCACTCCCACCCTGCATCATTCCTCTTGTGATGTGTCAGTGTAACTTTGGAGTCCAAGACGTGAGTTCTCTCTAAAGAATGTGTTTTTTTGTGCCCTGTTTGAGCAGCCCCGCCACCCCTCCTCTGTTACAGTCGCACATTCTTCTCCAGATTTCTTTTCATAGAACACATTACTGCAATCCAAGCGTACGATCATCACCAGCCAGTGCAAGCATGACAGCTTTGTCACAAGCAGCAATAATGCCAGAGTCATGCATTTGCAATTAGTGAAAATAAAATGCTGGAAAGTCCTGGTTTGGCTCTGTTGACTTGTTTGTGAGAGTGACATATTCCCCACTGCTCAGTGAACTTACTGAACTCTGCATACCACCACACATCACATAAAAATACTAATTAAAAGTGACTACAATGCGTTCACGCTTACATATCATGTTTCATCTAATCTGTAGATCATTACCAGTAAAATCACTAGTCCCTCAAAATCAAAATCAGGAAAAAGAAATATAATATACAACTTGTACTCACAACTTTTGGTGTCGTCCACAACTCGTTTAGTTTTATGAATCTTTTGTCTTCTCCTCTTTCCCCTCCTTCCCTCTCTTCCTCCCTCCTCCTCCTCCTCCTCCTCTCCCTCCTCTTTCCCAGTCCTCCTTCCGAGCATCGTTTTCTAGCTTTTCTTTTTTTCTTCCCAGACCATGTCTGCCAACACAACCTGATGTCCGGTATCCTGGATTTTATAAGACCCCAGTTTTAATTGCATGCTAGTGTTTCACCCCTGAACACATCAAAACATCATCCACATAAAAACCAGTTCATCTCATCCATGCTAAACATCACAATGAGGAGGACCACGAGTGTTAGAAGACTCTGCAAACATGTTTCGGTCAAAGTATTAATCAGTTCTATTTATTAAAATAACAGCAACGTCTTTTTTGTGCAAGAAAACACAAATCAGAACATTTGAAAGTGTATGAATATATTATTATAAGAGTGTTTAATTTCCAACCATCACCAATTTAATCTTATATCCAACCTCTCAACAGTGGGCCTCAAATTTGACTTCTGCATTACTTAATATAACCAGCAGGTGGGGCAGTGCACTCAGAGACTAATCCCCAACAGACACACAATCAAAATGGATTTATAGACCAAACAATGGGATATCATTTGGATTTGAATTGATTTAATTGGCTTTGTTTTGCTCTCAGGCGCCTCTAAGCTGAGTTAGACAGATGTGACTAATTTCAGTACTAATAGAATAAAGTGGTCCAGGATAGATTTGCAGTGAGAGTTGTTTCACCTGGTTTCACCTCCCTCAGTCTTGTGTTTCACATCCTGAACATGAATGATTTACATATTTTACAGCTACTGTAGTTTGTTTGTAAGTTGCTTTTGAAATGTTTCGTTCGATAATTAATTAGTCAATTCGTTTTTTTTCAAACTTTAAGCTATCAGTTAATCGTGATGTCATTCATTAAGCACAAAACATGATTTGGTTTCAGCAGCAAAGATATGAGGATTAACTTCATTTGTTTTACTCATTGTATTATTATCAATTTAATGTTCAATTAAAAAGAAAATCTTCATTAGTTGCAACTGAAGTTTAATTTATTGATGAAGGTAGTGGTTTAATCTTATTGTGTGGTCTACTGTCATTCTGAGAATGCATATAATTAAGGTCATTGGTCAAAACACTGAAAAAGATGAAATGCACCTCAGGACCCTGCCTTTACAGACACACTTTGCTAGTGGGATTTATATCTATTTGCTCTTCATTAATTCTTCATTTATTCCTGTGAGTGATTTTAGAATATTTCCTATTAACAGATGGCACCTTCAGTAAGATATGTGTATCTTACTAACAAAATAATCAACTTCAAACCGTTCAATATTTGTCATCTACTACCCACAATTCCTTGATGATGACCTAACATAAATA